GTTGTTCTGAAGTAATGTAATGAAGGCCGTGGCTCCATTAGTAGTCTCTTCCTGCAGAGTCCCATCATCCCACTCCCAGCGGAGAGGGACGAGCAGACAGAAACAGAAAGGCATAAGGGATGCAGACAGAGAGGCGGAGAAGAGGGAGATGGAAATGTCAAAGGCTGTGGTGTAACCTGACCTTCTGGCACATCGGGACCTCGGTGTCGGAGCTAGTGGGGAGTGGAGTGGGACAGACACCGAGCAGGGAGAGAGGGAGGGTGGCATTTTACAGAGAAACGGGAGACGGGTGTAGAAATGACAGCCAAAATGAAAAGGAGAAAAGTGGGTGAAAGTGTCAAACCCCCATGTTTGGACATGGACATACGATGCAATTTCCTAAAGAATTCCCTGGTACGCTTCATGAAAACAATATGGGTTGGGCCAGACATTTTACTAATAATGACATATAGTATATGTTTTCAGTATAAAAGACCCGTTGTTGATCAGCTCAGCTCAAAGGAGCCCACATGATCCAGGTGAAACAGAACTAGCTCGGTGTGCAGAGACGTGGACACACTTGGCGAGGAAGTGGCTATTTTTCTCCCGGACTACCACGCTGGAGACGGGCAGTATTTTTAGACATGCAAGTTAGATCCTTGCAATCACGTGTCCCCTTTTGTCATTTTCTGTTTTTGTCGCGCGTGCACAAGAGCTGCGGCAGAGCCCTTTTCAGTGCTAAGTCTTAGTGATTTCTGAATATGAAGCTGCATCCGGACCTATCGATTTGTGTTTTACATGTACCAAACTTTTCCTCAGGTGAGAGAGCATCTGCCTTCTTAAAGAGTGAGGATTTCCAAATTCCAACAAAACAGGTTCCCTGTTTACTGTCTCAAAATTCTTGTATTTAAGCGCCACAATTGATGCTTCTTTGAGCATTCAAGAGAAAACAACAACAATGTACAATGTAAAATTCTGGAAATTTGGGATATATTATCAGAACAATTGTTTTTGTGCTTTCATGAAAGATTAAAGAATAAGCGCAGATGCCCAGTCCCTGTTTAGATATCAGTGATTATTTTCTGGTCCTCCTGTTTAAATGAAACCACCAAAAAAACATCATAAACAAATTCCGCCTTTTGTTAGCGATGAGCAAAGCCATATTTAACTTTTTTACAGCACTAATACTGCAAAAACTGTTGATCTCATCGTGAGTATCCGATCTCGAAGGCCCCACCCAGGCTTTTTTCCTGTATGTATGCATATGTGGCACCGGAGTCCATTACTGAAATCATATTATCCTCAGAGGGAGCACTAAGGCAGGAAACAAACCTCAGCCATCTCCTGACTTACTCCGACTTCAATGTCCAAGCACATACAGAGGAAGTGGTATATAACGGATGAGAAACTAAAGCAAATTCTTATTTGCATCTTACTGAAAACTGACTTGTGGGTGGGAAAAAAAAAGCTGGATCCACCCTAAGTTTTCCTATTCCCACGTGTGCAGTGCAAGATTTCCACTCAGTCGTGCACCTGTGCTGTAGGTCATGGCTATAAATATGTCATGATGCTGATACCAACACGGAAAGGGACACAGAGGGAGGATCTGCACAGTCACAAAAGAACATTTCATTTTAAATTCGTGCAGCAACAAGCATTCCAGCCCTGTCAGGAAGGGGCCTTGGAACAGGAGTACACAACCAGTCAGTGTTTTGTTATGCTGCAAAACAGCAACCCCCTAAACGGTGTCATTTTACGCACGAAAACGGAGTGTCACTTCGTGTCTTCTCCAAAAAACGTCCATAACCCTCAGCCTCAATGAAGGCATATATAGAATCCGCGGAAATCTGTTGGGATACTTTGAATTTGGACAGCGTTCAGGTTGGGATGGAGGGGGAAAAATGTACCAAACGCTTGAAAGTCACGGGCACAGATGCTCACCCCTCTATAGTCAATCCGAACATGCACCGACCTAAAGCAGCGGTCCTACATGTCAAGTCGTGAGCATTTTTCTCACTCAAAGCTGTCCCGGTGAGTGGAGGAGTTAGGGCAGATGTTTATTTGGACGGCCATAATAACAGCTGGCGCGGCCGCTCTGCTTAGAGCCCCTTATGCGCTCCTCTGGAGCAGAATAAATCCATAAGCGTATTCTCAGTTATTAGCAGCTAATTTGTGAGGCGCACTAAGATCAAACCTATAACATGGGCAGCGTGCGTGATAAAAAGAAGCAAGGCGACGCCTTTTGGACGGCTCCGGCTGACCGGTCCGGCTGACCGGGCCGGAGCAGGCTGCGGACACCCACCTGCCGTATGCGGTTCTGGTGCATCGGTGCTGGGGGTCCCACCTCCAGGGACGTGTTGCTGGAGGAGGCTGTTTTCAGGTCGCGATCGGAGCCGCCGCCCCTGGAGCGACCGTCTTCGGGGCTACTTGACATCCCGTCTCTGGCTGCAAAAAAGCCGTCAGTCAGGGTCGTTCTTCTTTTTCTTTCTCTATTTTTTTTTCCCGGTGTGATTTCTGTCCGGGCCTCAGAATCCGAGGGGCTCGGCCTGGCCCGGGATCATTTATGCGTTGTCAGTGACCAAGTCTCAATGATCAAACGTGAGAAAAGAAAAAGCCAATACAGCGATTCTTCCGGACTACGGGAGAAAAACGAGCGCTCCCTCTGCTCAGGGATGCTCCCGGTGTGCAGCTTTATCATGTGTGTGTGTGTACGAACACGTGAACGCGCTTCCTTCGGGTGCGCTTCCCCGAAATCTCCGCAGGATTCGTGTTGCTTTCCCGACAGTGGGACTTCTTGAAAATGGCCTTCGTTTATGACGTCCGATACAGGAAGGTTGGAAATATCGATATTTCATTAGCTGATTCCGTGGTTATAATCTTTATTTACTTAACTTATCACCCAAAAATATATATGTTTCTCCTGTAAAAGCTGCAAAAGAGTCAATACACATGAAACACACATATCACACGTTTCCAGCGGTAATTGAACGCACCAGTGAGCGGTGCGAACCCTGTTTGGCTTCTTTTTTTTTCTTTTTTCTTTCTTGCATCCCTCTTCGTGCTTCTGCGGCAGTCACAGACAAGAAAGTTGCCAGTTTGGCCGGTGATGTCCCATAATTAAACAGAATCTCTGACGTTGCTCGCACTCACACACATCATGGCAACCCAAGACGGATGGAGCTGGGCTTACATAATGCGATGCTGCTCCCAGTATTCTTCTGTTCCAACCTTGTCCTGCCTCACCTCAAAAGGCCCTAAACGTAATTGAAGTTGACAGGGCAAAAAATCAATAACATTTTGAAGACATGTGGGGAAAACAGGGCTCTGTTAAAGACGAAACAGACAGAGGGGGGAAATGTAATGAACAGATAGTGGTAGATTATCCAAATGTCACAGTTGGAGTTGGGTATTAAAGACATAAATTCTTATAGCACATGTTTTGAATTGCACACATATATGAGAAAGTGTGAGAAAAAAAGCTTGCTTGTTCAGTACTGACTTTTCATTTGACTCCAGTTAGTCAGATCTTCAGCAATATGTCTCCAGGCCTTTTAAAATTCTTTCAAATATTTTTCTTTGGGCTTTTTCAAAAAGATTGAACTTTCATTCAAACAAAGCTTTCTTGCCAGTCCTTGCACTTGACTAGTTTGTGATGAATGTTTTTCCTTTTTCTTTACGACAAAAGTTAAAACACGGTTTGAATAAAATGTGTCACCGTTGGTCCTAATGCAAGCCAAATAATAGAACCATTGGTCCAATTTGCAAAACCACCCACAGCAGGTTTTTTGGTGTCCACAAGAAACAACATAAAGCTCCTGCATAGATCTGGTGCAGGACCCTGGAGATGAGTCTGAACCTACAAGTGACCCATTAACTGTTCACTGAAGCCTCATTAAAATGGTCTCGGTAGATTGGGGACTGTCAAGAAGCAGTTCTTAGGGAGGGGAAACAGATCGAGACAGGCCACAATACACCAGAATTGGACTAAAATGAGTGATGAATCCATCCCAGAGTCAAAGCCCACATCCAAAGAACAGCTTTGGAAAGACCTTTAAGAAGCCTTGGGACTATTTGTGAAAACTATCACCTGTCTCCTTTATAAAAATGGGAAAAAATCCAGAGTAGATTCAAGATTTTTGCACTGTGCTGGATAGACACATTTCAGATGTCTCTTGAGCAAAGCTCTGTTCTTGCTTCGGTCTTGATCTACAACAGCTCATATCGAATCTAAAACTTTTTAAGGCTCCGTGGGGTTTTAATAAAACCTCTAACAGAAAATGACGTTAAAGCTAAATTCCCGCTATTCTTAATCTTAGAAAAAGGTATCAGAGAAAAACAAAAAGCAGTTAAGAGCTCAACATAGTTTTTATTGCATTGAAAATTTGCTTGGGGAGCCGTTTGGTCATGATAAGCATCAAAGAGAACATTAAAGCCCATATTTCATCCCTCGTTTCACTTTTAATCAGTAGCATAATGAGAACTTACTTGCTCCTCTTAATAATGCAATAAAAAATATTTTCATGTCTCCTCAGTATCGAGTACTCCCTTTTTGACTAAATCCCCAGTTTAGTCCTTTGGTCCATGGTCGCATGCATTATGAAATCCATTGTTTTTGTACCATTTTCTGATTAAGTATTTTTCAAAATGTACTCCAGATCATAACCATTGCATTTAAGCAGCACTTGTTTGTTTCATGCTACCATGGCCTTGCTTTCTTAAGGCACTTGTGTTTTCATTGTACCAGCAGGAATGAAGCTTCATCCTCCCCTTTGTAAGCGGCTGCTAAATTTATCTGCCAACGGGGGTGTCGCCAAGACCCTGCTGCAAAGCATCGCCATGGAAATAACTAACCCTAGACCCCTCTGTTGATCAGAATAAAACAAATCTAATGGCAGTCGAATTTAGATGCAGGAACGCAGTAGGTGAAGGATTCACAGAGAAGGCGAGACGCACGCAAAAAACAACGAAATCAGTAAAAAATATAAAAATGTTTTATTAGACATTTAAGTTTAAACAAATGAGACATCACTGAACTGGATTCCGTCAGTGACAGCAGCACCAAAACCACCACGAAACATTCACAGCGACAAAACAACAAGAGACAAGGACATATGGTGGGAAAGCTTTTTGAGAGCCAAACGGACATTTGCTTGAGGAGAACTTTACTTCCGAGTCTTTTTAATTTTTTTAATGTGCAGAAAGCTGGTCTAGGTTGTCGTGGCTACGATTGGAGAGGTGTGCCTCCAAAATTTGACCGAACAAATTCCTCTTCAGCAGGTTGTAGGCCATGGGCAGAAGCTGCCTGATGACTTTGTGGAAGTACTGGAGGAGACAGAAAAAAAGAAGATAAAGATAAGATATTTTCTCTCAAGTCATCTTCAATGCACCAATTTGGAATGAGTGTATGATTTGCATTAAATCCAAAGTTAGAACCTCTAGAGTTTCAGGAGTCCAGTTTTTCAAACATGCTGAAATATATATTTTCTGCTTCTAAAAGAAGCTTTTGGTGTGAAATTAATCAATTAAAGCTTCTTATCTGAAATAAACCCATAAAAACCCAAAGTCACACAGGTGTAACAACCTATTTAGACTAAAATACATTTATAAAAAATAGCCAATGGAACTTCTGGAAATCACAGATCTTTGACTTTTTGTGGCGGTATCTGAATTCCTTTTTCTTTTTTTTTTATTGATAATGGGAAATAATTTGGTCAGCTTTCCATTCCCTATAATTTCTCTTGAAAATGGGCCTGGGCTTTTATGGGTTCAGCAGTGCCCATGTTTAAATGCTTAAAAAGTCTCCAAGACATGCATTTTCCTCAGATGAGGAATTAGGACATCATTCGTTTCCTTACTCATCCTTTACAAAAAATAGAAAAGAAAAATTAAATAAATAAAAAAAGAAGACGCAACTCAGCACTTTTAAAAACTCACATGAGAACCATAAGAGAAGAGGTCTATGCCGAGTTCATAACCCATTCCATAGTCGCACTCGTCGTTGGCGAACTGAACAAACGTGATCATTTCCTGGATTGGTCCGAAGGCTTTGACGCGCTCCTCGTCATTTCGGGCTTCTGCAATGGCTTTGCAGATCTTTTTCAGACCGGCTAAAAAGGCAAGGATAGGAATATAAACACACACACACACGTACTGAAACACCCCTACTTGAAAAGAGTTCACGTCGCCGGTGACGAGGGACAAAAAAACACCTTCAGGTTGCTGAGCTCACCGTCTGTTTCGGGCAGCTCTCTGTAGCCCACGTCGTTCTTGTCGACGGGAACAACAATGCCGGCACCGTGGAACGTCTTGGTGACAACCTGCGATACAACACCAGGAATTATCCACTGTCGGCTCCAAGGCAGAATGGTGTCCCACCCGGGGCACCATAGATTGTACACAGATATAGAAACCGAGGGACACAGGCTGCAATGGCCAGCATGTGGGTACACACAAATACAAAAAAAACAAAAGAACTTTGATAATAATAATCATCATCATAATCTAAAGTGTCCTTTAAACACAGAACTGTTACTTATTTCAAGCTGCCTAATGCGTTTATTATCTCTGTGATGGCCTGGCGACCTGACCAGGCTGGACCCTGCCTCTCACCCAACGACAGACGGGATAGGCTCATGCCGACCTTTGACCCTGCTGGGGGTAATGTGCGTAGGAAACAGGGGGATGGATGGATGATGCGTTTCTTACCTTCTTGTCTCTCTGCTTCATCGCTTTGGTCTTCTGTTCTAAAGAAAAGCCCAGAGTCTCGGCCCTGTCCCTCAGCTTGGCCTCCAGGTTTTCCAAAGCCTCTCCCCCAGATTTTTTACCACCCCTCTCTTTCCTCTTCTTCAGCAGATAAAGGCTAATGGAGCAAATATCGCACAGAGCAACAAAGGGAAAAAGAAACACACGCACACACACACACACCAAAAAGATAACATGAGTGATGAAAAGCAGTGAGCCATCAGCTCTGTTTCAGAGGGAAATAGGGCCGTGCACATTTATGGGGTGACACTCACTAGACGGCAGCAAACACGTTGTCCCCCATCTGTGTTACCGTGCAGCCCTTCTTAGCTTCATTTTCTCCAACAAAAGCAGGAGAAGTATCTGGAGCATCTCTGAAAGGTTTGGAGAATATCTTTTAACGACACGTGACCCGAGAAACGCCCTGCCTCGTCTTCTTCGTGGTTCCCGGATGATCAATTTGCCGCTTGCGGGACTGCGTTCCGACCACTACCTGTAGTAGCCCATGTGATGCTGGCTGTCCTCGCTCCCCCGAAGAATAGTCTGAAACTCCGGAGGGTCATAGAAGTACCTCCAGTGGAGGTGGAAATTTGGCTGAGGATCCTTGCTGTTTCGGTGAGCACCCGCCAAAATGTCAAAAGGTCCAACGAGCTGCAAGCCCAACGTGCCTTTCAATGCACCTGCACAGGTTGGAAAATGAAAAAAAAAATGGAATAAAAACATTTTTAACAGTAGAAATGATCCCCTGATTTGTATGTTCAAGAGAAGAAAAACCAAGACTGAATTTCCACAAGTAAAAATGGATAAGGCTCACACCAAGAAGAAGCAATAACTTAATTTACAGCTCAACCAGTTATGGCAGCATCAGGTGGAGCAGCCCTCCTCAAAGCTAACTGTCCTAACAGAATCCAGGCTTAGGCTGAGGTCTCCACCCGGCTGAAGCCTAACCCAGCACACTCCAGATGTGGAGGAACAGGAGATCTACCTCTTTTGTATGCATTTTTTTCTTTTGAAAAGGTTCCTTTAGTCTACCACAGTCTAAGAAAACCACTTAACATCTCAGCTGAGAAGTTTTGAGACCTTACTGAGAGAATGATAAATCTAAAGGGATTTATTCACAGCCTAAATCATTACTGACAGTTAGACAAGTGTATTCAGCTCAGCAAAATCCCACTGACTAGGTACAGAACAAATCCTGTGACAATTTTGTTTCAAATGCAGGGACATCCTACGCTGATCAGTTCGAATACAGAGTTTGAATTTCAATCCATTTTATGACAGTATCTCATTGGCATTTAGTGCTTCCCTCAGCTAAGAATACAAGTCAAGAAATAAATTGAGGAAGAGAGGGTTTTCTTGAAAATAAAAAGCCACATTCCTGATTGACCACATCCCTTATTGGCATCACTGAAAGAAAACCTAAAGTTGATGTTTGGAACATACCGCGGGGGTCGTCAGGGTGAAGGTCCGTGCAAAAATCCCAGAAGTGGAACAGGTCCTCCGGCATGTGGAAACCGTACAGCTGCACCAGCTCATCCCGCTGCTCGGAACCCACTCCCGACATCTGCACGGCTCTGGCTTCATCCCTCCGCGCTTTCTTCTGCTCCCCGTTAGCTGGACACGAGTCCTGATCAGAATCACATGACCATCGTGTTGTTCATTGTCAGATTGGGCGATGCAGGAGGGTGAGTGGCAGCTTTTCCGTGGCACATTAAACACAACGCACAAGGTAGTTCCCCATTTAAGTAAACGGCTCAGGAGTTATCACAATGTCTGGCTAACTGTTCTCAATGTGAATGTCCCTGAGTGTTCAGTTTAGAGTACTTTCTACGGAAAGGAAATAGCTAGAGAGTGTTAGCTGTTGACACAACTCTTTAGAGCACTAATTAAATCAATACTTGCAGCCGTTTGTCATCAGGAGACTAACGAGGCGTCCAACACTAACTTCAGAGCCTTTGCCTCGATAGTCTAAAACAAACCAAACAAACAAACCCGCAGATACAGTAACTCATGTCGCAGATGTGAAACACCGTTAGAGACTGCTGCGAACCGCAAACGTCTCTGGAGAAGCAGGTTTGCAGCGTTAGCGCTGCCATGTTGGCGTTTGAGCGTCGCTGCCCAGTCAGCATAGCACGTCCAACTGATCTCCACGCTTCACATATGCTGCCAGATAGGCCGACAAATCCCTCACAGCGTCACTGGCATTTGGGATAAATCAAATCCCGAACGAACATCTGTGACCGTGCCAAAAGCGGGTCAAAGTAAAGCCGAATTACCTGAACTGAGGCTGATTTTCTTTTTGCGCGCCCTGTCATTTTCTTCCTCTTGTCTCCTAGTCGTTGTCTTCTTCTACGCGTCAATAGGTGCACCAGCTTCTACCAGTTGGCGCTCACCAGTGCCCCCAAGAGGTCAGATGGCAACATTGCAGTCGTAAAACGGTTCTTTTTTTTCCATTAAAAATATTTCAGAAAATGAACATGATGGTCTTATATGAGATAATGCTTCTTATTGAAATAATTTACGCAACAAAATTGTGGAAGATGTTAGAAGAATGTAAAATGTTGCCATGGAAACAACATCCAAGTTTATTCCTCATAAAATCAAGAAACCTTTGTAAGTGAAATGAGTGTTTTGTGTTTTGTAACAATATTGCAGTCACAAAAAGAAAACGTTTAGGATCTATTGCTCAGTACATTATAATTATAATCATATAGATATACTTTGTCCATTGGGGAAAATATTGAGTTACTGGAAAGTATTATATTCTCAGACACTTAAACATGAAGACTGAAACGGTTTGTGATGAAGTGGAAAACCTTTCATTTAAAGAATAACCTCTTTACTGCCTGAGTTATAGGTGGAATGAGAGTGAACATCCACAGACAGTTTTTGGGTCTACAACTTAAGAAAGATTGACAGATAAGACTAAGCACAATGATGTATGTGTACGTGTATGCTTTTTTTTACAAAGATTGGAGGAGTCATGCCAGAAATGGACTGAAAAATTAAATATAACATGAAAACCTGTGTAAATTGCTTGTGTATCTATTATGAAAATAATTTCAAGACAAATCTACTCCCTGAGTACGTAAAAACTGAAAAAAAACTTCCCCAAACAATTCACCTCATTCGACAGCATTAGGTTAGAAAGCACTCATTTGTTCCAACTCTTCAAACTGCATATACATTCAAGATCAAATTTGAAAACATATAAATAAGAACAATAAAAAAAAGCTCTTCAGATAGATTGCTGAATAATAATTGTGACAATTATTTGGCAGATATACACAGCTAATGTGTCCATGAAATAGATCAGTTAGAGTTTCTGTCACTATGAACAGTTGTGGTGTGTCAAAGATGAGGAATAACAGACAGCTTTATGCTTTGAAAGCCTTTTGTCTGCTTTTTCTCTCCATTCTTCTATCCCTCAGACTGTGTATCTTCCTCCTTGTTTTCCTGTGTTTCCGGGTTTGAATTATCACTACTTTCATGTTGTTGTTCTTCTGCTTCTTCGGCATACTGCAGCCAGTTTTCTCTGTTCTTCTTACAAGCATCCATCAACGGAGAGCAGGTGTCAAAAAGTTTGGATACAGCCTGAGGAAGAGAAGAGGGAATGGCATACAGAAGCTCAAAGAAGAGTTTAGGAGAGATGGACAGAAATGTGGATAATGCTGGAAAGTCATTTGTGACAGACAAGGGAGCAAAAAGCAAGAAGCACAGTGAGTCCACATTCATAGACGTCATGCATCTCACAGTAACACACCTTATATAGTGGATAGCAGATCTCATCGATGTACTCAACTTGCATGAACGGCAGACGGGTGCTGTTTTCTCTGTTCATTATGTCCTAATGAGAGAAAAGTGCATACTGGCCATTAGAAAAGCCATTGTTTCAACAGCTAATGAGAGATATCAGCTAATAAGAGATGCCCAGACCCTCCCTACCCCACAAAGGCATATCCAGACAGGCCTTGTTTTATTCCTAAAATAGGGACGGGACCCTACTCAAAAAATTAATTTTGGACACTTTTAATTACCCTATTGCTCTTTTGGCCACAAGCCACAGTTCATAAATACATTTGAATGCTGAATGGTCTATTGAATTGTGCAAAGTGTACAGGCTCTTTGCCTCATAGGCTCACTTCTCTCTTGTCTGGTTTCCTCCTCTGATTCAGGGTCATAGCTGAATTGCAAACTGCCCTAATATCTACTGGACAAATCATGAGGCCATGCACTCAACAACAATTAAATCCTGTGAACTGGAAACATTCTGTCTGGGACAGTTATGGACGGAGGCAGTGACACAGCACAACCCTGGTGAAGCCCAACATTGCTAGTCAACAAGTCTCTCTCCATTTGTACAAAGACTGTACAGGGACTGAGTGGTCCATAGAAAAGGATGACAGATTCATTAAAACATCCCAAAAGACATCATAAGGCACAGACTGGAATGTCTTATCTGAGTCCAAAAAACACATGGAGACTTGTTGATATACTTTCTCCAGTATTTTTCGAAAGGACATATAGTTTGTTTAGTGTTTTGTACCCAGGCTGAAATCATAAAGTTCTTCCAAAATCCAAGATTTGAATCTGAGCCTGGCTGCAGCATCCTGCCATAGACTTTTAAGTGGTAATTGGAAAGTGGTATTCCTTTGGAAACTAAACGCATTCTGATGCCTCTTTTTGCAAAGTCTCAAAGCACCACACAATGTGTGAGAGCTATTTTTGGCATTTTTAGACTGTTGGCAGGGTCTGACATTTCAGTTAATGCCAACAGGAATGCACCCAGAGCATGGACCTCAACACTGTTGGGATCATCTTGACAGAAGGTCAATGCAATTAATATTTACTTTCAAGCTTGTTAGAAATTTATATCGTTTTTTTTTTTTTTTTTACCAATCTACTGTGTTTCCATTTATGTTTGCACAAGTTTCAGTGAATTGTTGTACTGTTAATATATATTTGAGAGATGGATGGCTCAAAACCTTTGTAGGGTTGGAAAAAATATGAAAGGAATACTTTTCTGGATGGAAAAACAGCAAAACAATTGTAGTTAATATTAAGATTATTATTATTTTTGTTTATTTTTCCTAATTCAAATAATTAATCATAAATGTTTTTTTGCTTCCTCCCTATTCTCCATTCAAAGCAAACTAAGCAGGGTATTTATGTGAATATTATTTTTCTTCACAGGCAAACTAAGCGGCCACCTAACTGGTCTCAGCTTCAGAACAGGACCAGGACATACTTGTAGAATTATTTAATCCAGATCTTCCCTTTTGCAACAAAAGCGTGTAGTACTATTCATTTTGATAGTTTTAAGGTATAACTGACCAGAGGATAAAATCCTTCTGGCACAACTTACGATCGGTTTGATTTTGAATTCTTCCCTCTCTTTGTCACCTTGTGCAAAGAACTCCATGGCAACCAGATTGGCAATCTGTTGAGAGGAACACTGGGGTTAAGGTTGTGACAGCTTCAAAATGGTTGAGAGATGGAGCATGGGCTGATTGTTCATAGGAAAAACATTTTTAGAGACCTACCCTTCTTTGCTCGGGCCAAGGCTTTGTGATAGCAGAGAGATCACTAGCTGTCATCAGCATCGATCTGTTGGATAAATAAATAACTTCAAGAACAAGTTTCAACCCTGTTCTGTTTCATAAAACATGAAAAAAAAGCCTTATTCTTATCAGTCTGACTCTCACCTCAGCAAATCTCTTTGTTTCTCACTCTTCCAGCTGACACTGCTTTTATTAGCAAGAGTAAAGAACTCTTTTCTTCTCCTACAGAACAAAAACAAGGGCATGAGGGTCAGAACAAACTGTTCAAAAGACTCCTACTATGGCTGCTTTGATATTCAACTTTCACATACTGCATGTAGACATTCAGGTCAGTTGCAAGGATTGCTCTTTTGATCAACTGTAGCACAGCCTTGTGGTCCTCTGCTGATAGACTGTTAAGAATCTGACTCCCCTGGAAGGAGAAAGGGACCATATGGTGATCACCAGAGACAGTCTGGCATAAATACTTTTTGAATTCCACTTTATTCTGTTTAGTTTTCAAGTATCAATTGACGTGAGTCTGAAAAGACATGGCATTCGTCACCTAGAGTTAAATTTAGAACAGACTGGCCAATAGGCCAAATAAAGAAAGAGGACTCTTGATCACGTCTTACATCGTTGCTTAGGATGAACAGGCACAGATTATAGTGGTGGTTCTCCAGGGAGGAGTGTCCATACAACTGGGCTAAAGGTTGTTGAGACCTATGAAAAAAAGAAAAGAAAGATAGCATGCAAACAGAGAGTGACTGACAAGTGTTTTAACACCCATCAGATAAATGTGAAGAAATTGATATTAGCAATAAGTAGTCATCGGAAGAGTCTTATATTTTAATTGAATAAAACAGAAGGGAGGGAGTGGTGATGTTTACCTTTCTATGTAGGAGTTACTAACTCCTCTGTGGTCAATATCATGGTTCAGGGTAGCTATCATCAAAGCTAAGATCTCCTGGCGGGTAAAAATGTTCTGAGATAGAAAAACGAACAGTTTTAGATAATGTCTTTTCTGAAATCCAGAATACACCAAACTTGTCCAGCCTTTTCAGATAAAAGATGAAAATTGAGATGTAAAAAGTACATAATGGAAACCTCAGCAGATGCTTGAGGGGTCACAACCAGCAAGAAAAAACATCTAATTTCTGATCTTTAATGAAAAGCTAAGGACACTGCTTTGCATGCTGCTATGTCACCAAGCTATATCAGATCTGATCGACTAAACATAATAAACATCTGATATTTATTTGGGCCCTCCACCTTTGAACACTTAACATGAAATGTATGAACAGCTGTCAATTAAACAAAGAGAATCCATCTCAGTAAGGCATTAAAAATATAAATGAAGGCATATAGTGCAACAGTAGAAAAAATACAAAAGCGGAATCTAGAGTATGTGAATGGCAAAAATCACTACACTATAGAATAAGCTGTTGTGTGATCCCAAACAGAATGTAGTTAAAAGGTAAGAGGGAGGTCTAAAATAAGTACTGTTCCCTTCTAGGAAACACTGGGTATCCTCAAATCAAGTTTCTAGAAAACAACAGAACAATTCAGCTTCAACACTTAACTTGACGAATAACAATTAACTAGGACTTACAATAAATGGTCACTCAAATACGTGACATTTTCTAGGGCTCTTCCTCCTAATATGCAGCTCGGGTAAGTGCACATTTAACAATCCTATCTGGTCCTATCTGAGGCACACTAACCTGGAGCTGGTCTGTGGCCATGAGCATGGCAAACATGCTCTGAGCAGTGCTCAGTGCGTGGCTCCAGTTGTGATAAGGCACGTTGCTCCTGTATCCACGTCTCACGCTCAGCACCCATTGGCACAGACTCTGGAAGTTTGGCACATAGATGGAATTTGGTCATTCATACTCCTGTTTCATGAAGGTTGGGAAGCTGTGTAAAATGCTAAATAAAAATGCAGCGCACAAATCTGCCAATACAATAAATTTATGAACAGAATATCTAAAAATGTCAATGTTATTGGAAAATACCATTGGAATATAGGAAGACTAACTGTTATGACCAAATAGCTACTTTAGTCTACTAAAAATCTCATTCAATATTTCTTTTAGAAATATTCAAATGTCCAGCTTTCATCGTGTTTTGCAGGTCCTATTGTGAATAATCTGATAAACTAATATATAGTATTTGCATTTTGATCCCAATAATTATAGAAGTGGAAACATAATATTGATCAAGCAACTTTAGGATCAGTTAAAGATGTGAAGGGAATTTGTTCCATCCAATTTCTACTTGAAACTATTAGATTTTCTCAGATGTTCAGGTGAAACCAATTTATGACGATGTTGTTTACCTTGTAGTCAATCTTGAAATCCTTCACCAAATCAAGGTCCAGAAACATGCGAACAGTGGCCTGGGCGGTTAGGTCCTCTGGAAGGCCAAAGTCGGAGAAATGGAATTCTAAAATCTTCAGTGACTCGGCAGAGGGAATTGTGGCATCCTGTAAACAGAACCCCGGCCCCCAATAAAGCCAACGAAATATACACAAGTCCAGAAAATTCTCCAAACACTCAGTGACAACGCTAAAATGTAATTCTTCCTCAGTCGCTTCCTTGTAAACTATCTAAGTGTAACATGTGAGCCATGGCAAATTTTACCCGCTGTCAGCTCAACATTTAGCTCTTAGAGCTTTAGGTGAATGTTCACTTGAAAGCCTGTTAATCAGTCATGTGGGGACTAATTCACTGCGTTCAGACACTGTGATGAAAACAAGACAGTGAAAGCGGAGCCGCAAAAGACAAACAGAGTGAATGTGATAGAAAGCAGACGGAGGCTCTGTGGAGGGGCTTTTAAAAGTTTCACAGAAAAAAGGAGGATGTTGCACCAAATATGAAAACGTGAATAGTGGTTTATCTTCACACATATGGGAATTGTGGTAAGCAGTAGGTGTGTCACCTATTATTATAAGTTTTTTTAATGACAAAAAATACTGGGACATGTATAAGTTGGGGTTATAAGTTATGCAAACTAACGAAGACACTCTGGTTTATATTTTGTGCTTCATTTTTATCCTTGTATGGTGCTGAAAATGTTCTGCACTGACCTTTAATGGACGTGCTTATAGGACTTTAACGGTTTGTCATTTAAACTTGAAAAGATTTTCCTTCAAAAAGTACCTGCAAAGCCTGGATATCCTGCTCTGTTGCAGTGATGTGATAGGCAAGAACCTGCAAATTTGAATCAAACACATATATGCACAGTTTTAGGAGTTTTCACATGTCTGAAATGCACATTTCCAGTTTCACAGTACAACCTTGGTGAAGGCAAAATTATTGTTAAATAGTCTCAATAAAACTTTGTAGCTTGAAAACAAAAATTAAGACAATCAAGAATTCAAAGCCAGGTTTTAAATCACAGCTTTAAAAAAAATCAGCTTTGCAGAAAATGTTGTTGGGTGAGAACATGAGCAGTTAGGCTCTGATTCAATGAATCATATAACAGGAACATCATAGCACCATCTCATACAGCACACCGGATTGATCAAAGACAATAGCTTATGAGGTTATCTTATATTTTCTTTTGGTGAAAATGTTACGGTGTGAGCAGGGGAATACCACTGTTGACTTCTACAAAGAAATATCTGGATTAAACCTACAAAACAAACACTAAAACCGGCTGCTGCAAGTCAGAGGACACTTCCTCTAAGCCAGTTCACCTCAGTCTGATCTTGCACAGAGCATTTCCTCCTCAGCAGGGGATAACTTTCTCCGTGTTTATAGTCTGCTTGACAGATGCTTAACTGTACCTCAGCTGACAGCTCAACCTAATGACACATATGTGACAGTGGTATCACCACCGATGCTCTGCAGAGGGGTCGGGCTAACAGACTTTCTATATAAGGGAATAAATCTAGTGGTCAAATTCCACCTATGTTTGCCGCTGAATAAATGTTAATGTCTGATGAAGTTGCTGTACAACCGTTATGGATATATAGCCTCAACTTGCGGGACCACGCTAGTTTGAAATGGCTAAACTTCATGCCAAAAGACACTGACTCAAATTACAACTGTAAGCTGTGTGAAAACAGCTTGGACAAAAGAGGCATTGTTGGCTAACTAAGTCCCCAAAACTGATTTTGTCAAAACATCAAGCTAACGTGAACAACTTGGGGCACAAACTAGGGGTACAGCAGGTCACCAGTCCATCACAGGATCACATAGAGACAACCAACCACACACAAAGAAAAACACATGCACTTATAGAGGTGATTTAGGATCGTCACTTATCCTGACATGCATGTCTTTGGTCAGTGGAGGGAGGCCAGAGAACTCATGTATACACAGGAAGAAAATGCAAACACACACATAAAAGGTTCCCAGTGCTAACTAAATCATCTTAGGAAAAAAAAAGAGTGGAATTCTCACCTCCTGCGTGACCTGTATGCTGGCTCTCCGCACCTCAGTTATCTGGAGGGCCTGAGCATACTGTAAGGCCAAGCCACAGTACACCGCCAGGTCTTCCAGGAGGCGCTCGTCATACCGATTAAAGGCGTCTAATTCACCAGAGTCTCTGCTCCGCTTATTCATCAGCTGGCACACGGCTAAATGAAAAACAGAACACGAGTCAGGTGAACCGGTCTTAAGAAGAAGTTCCCTGCTTTGATAATTGGATTTGGTGAATTTGAAACACACTGTGTTGATGCCATGTCATTAAGTAATCTATGTCAGTCTAAAGCTACCGGAAAATGAGTCAGTGAAAAACGGCTGTCCCTGTGTGCTCTCAGACTTGTAATCACCAACAAGGGACCCGTGGGTCTGTTTGCAAAATGCAAGCGTGGCAGAAACTTGTGAAGACATGAAACGAATTACACAGGACCACATGAGCAATCAAAACAAAATCTTGTTGTTAAGGGACGCCAGCATTGAAGCTGACGGTCACTTCCTCACATTTTAAAACACAACTGCAACACCAGGGGGTCATTAGGAGCCCTTTCACCTTATTAAGAAATGAAAGGAATAGATCAGTGTGTCAGTATCTGAAAAGTCAGTTAAAAATCTTTTTGTTTTCCTTCCAGCTAAACACTATCCGTGGCAAGGATTAAAACATTATATCGCTCCATTTGAACTATCAGTCCGTGAGATGAAAACCAGGGGAGTAGCTAACAGATGAGCCATAAATCATAAATATTCAATGATGTCCCTCAAGAGGGGGGAGCTCACCGATAACCTTTTCAGACCTCTCGTTTCTGACGGGGCAGCAGATGATGCTCCTTATTGATTCCTCGGAACTCTTCGCCATATTAAGTGTTTCCATGGCCGTCAGCGTTCGACAGGCAAAGGATGGATCCACATCGCTGACGTCACGCTCCCTGCGAAATGGAGCACTCATCTGGTGTTAAATGACTAAACCCCCAAAGTGGCAGTGTGCGGGGAATACCTTCTGTAGATCTGGCAAGCTGATCCCAGCTCCTCACACTCCATGTGTATCACACGCGAGAATGAAATCTATGCATCCGTCACCAGATGAAAGCAGAATTATGTGTAGGGATATATAAGAAGATTAGTTGTATCATTTTAAAAAATGCATATGAATATACATATGTGTGTGTGTGTGGATGAGGCACCTCGTCCTCTTTGACTGAAGTCTGATCCCCGGGGATGAAGATAGTGCAATACTGTGCATGCGTGAAGGGCATGATGGTGGCGGCCATCTTACTCAGCAGAGCCTCAAAAGAGTGGTGCTCCCTCGACAACACCTGGGCCATTTCTATCAAAGCCTGGCAAACACAGACAAACCAGTTAAGGACACGGACGCGTTCGCGGACGCCGTATATCTTGTGGCCAGCTCACCTGGCTGCGTTTGGCCTCCTGTCTGGAGCTTTCGTGCAGCTGGACGTTTTCCAGAACCATCCCCAGAACGTCCATATGACTGGACAGCACCTGACCGAAAAGGTTTCACTCACATTTATTTCTGACAGATTGATGCCAGGTTGCGGTAAATTTTCTTTTTCCCGAAATACAGTTGTACAAAAGATGACAACAAATCTAACATTTCCAGCGATTTTCCGATTTGTGCCGAGCTCAAATCTCTCACCTTCTCATCCATGTTGGTAAAAACAGAAAGTGAGCCATCACAAGTATTCCTCTTGTTGATCATCACCACTACACCAAGCACCTGTCCATAAAAAGAGGGCCAGTTACAACATGTCATTTCATCGTCATCATCATTTTCCATGATTAAGAAGCAACATAATGAGCATTACCTCTCTTCTGTGGTTCTTGATGGGAACACTCAAAACAGTCCCGATTTTTAGTGACTGATTATTATGCATATTAAATTTTGGGTCCTGCAGAGATAAAAAAAAAAGTGATTGCATAATACTAAAAGTAAGCTTATGTGTTTTTGTATTCTAACTCTGGCTGTCTGAGCCTGGTAACTCTGTGTGTGATTCAGAAATTGATGTAATCCAACAACAATTTATCCCACTCTAAATTTACGCTATTCAAACTCTTGTGTGCCTCAGCAATCTGAGAAATATTTCTAACCAGTCCTGAAAATGTCTGTTTGGACTCATGCTGACCTGGGATTAACTTTGCAAGGAATTGGCTTCCATTGCTAATGGCATTGGTGGTGAAAAGAACTAGGGCTGGAGAGTACACCAGCTGTAAGCCTTTAAGTGAGCTGTGCTGTCCTCCCTCATTGTGCAGAAGTGTTCGTGTTGGTGTCTGCCAAGGAAGCTCGCACTGCACTTTAGCAGGGCACGTCACCATTTTAGATGCCTAATCAGAGGTTTATCAGTGGATGGAGTCCCTAAAAGGATTAAAAGCAGGTGCATCTGCCACCAAACAACTGAGTTGCCACTAAAACTAAAGCTAGAGAAAGAGCACGGTCCTCACCCCCAATTTTAAATCCCCCCCAAATCTAGCCTGTGTAAGAAATGTGTTCATTTTCGGAGCTGCAGGGGTGAAATTCACAAAAAGATTTACCTCAGATGCATCCCTGAGGTTAATTGGCGATCCTGTTGCCATCACGCATTCCATGACACCCCTAAAGAGCTCCTGGTGAGCGTGACCGTACGGGGAGCCGTCGCTCGAATTCCCGAGAGCCGTTAAGGCCACCACCTCTTCCAAGTTGCTCCTTCCGCCACAGTCTGTTCTCACGAGTGAGAGGCAACCGCCCTCGGCCGCAAACAGCTCCCCCGAATGGGTGACGGCTCCCTGGCAGAGCTCTGCGACGGAGCCCATGCCGCTCAGGCCCCCTCCCAGGAGCCCCATCATCCACGGGCAGCCCTCCCCCCGGCCACAGCCGGCGGCCTTGGCGGCAACAGGCTGCAGGACCTGCGGGGCGTAGGGGGAGCAGGGGCAAATGGGGGAAAGCGGGCGGCAGGCGGTGAAACTGAAGCGGGAGGAGCGGGGAGAGCGAGGGGAGCGAGGGGAGCAGGGGGAGTGACAGATGTTGTCCATCCACTCGGGGGCATTGAGAGTGGAGGCCAGGGGGTTGAGCCTGTCCGGGGAACAGGACGCGTCCTGGTGGGAGCCGGCCAGAGGAGCAGATGTTCTGTGATGAGAGGACGCCATCAGAAGGCTGGAGTGGTCCGAGCTGCTCCTGGGAAACCTGGGACTCGGGGTCTGGATCTCTGGCTGAGAGCCGCTCACTCTGAACACACATTCAACACAAATCAGGTCACTTACTTTTAGACGAGCAAAGGTATGGGGAAATAAAAAGGAATAAAGCCTAAAATGGTTCAGCTTATATGGAAATCATGCATATAGGACACAAATAAGTTGTTTTAGAAAAGCTTCTCCTACTAATAAAGTCTTGATGAAAACACACAATACATTTTCTTCTGTTTATAATTGACTTTGATATGAGATTGAATCTAATAGAAGGCTAAAGTGGGGAAAATAGATATTCTTACGTGGAGGATCTGCGCGAAAAGTACTCCCTGGTGAAGTCAGAGTGGTCGTCCAGCCACACTTGGTCGCTCGGCACACCGCTGACAAATTCCCCGCAGCGCGCCTTGGATCGGGGACTCCACATCGGGGAGAAGAGCCACCCGGTGCCGTGGACGATGGGCGAGTTGCGCGCCTCCGCCCTCCGGGAGGGTTTCTCCGGAGAAACCCCGCGATTGCTGCCAGGCTCCATTGGACTCGGCTGCTTTCAGGAGGACCGAGTCAGGCTGGGCATCCCCCCCCCCCACACACACTGCGTCCACGGACTCTAGATCGACGGAGAATCACCTGCCAAGCGAGAGGAGGTGGGGAGACAGATTAGTGACGCGTCAGAGAGCAAGAGCGCCATCCACACGGAAGCCACTGCGTGAGGGTAATCCTCTGACCTTTTTTTAGCTGATCTAGGTCCACCGGTTTTACTCAGTACAGGGAATTGATTTAAACTTCGGCGCAGGGCGCATGAATTGATTCCGGGCTTTGCTCCATCTGCCCTTGTCATTCTAATTCCGTCAACTTCATCCGACCACCCCATGCGTGTTGGGTGTGGATTACATGTCAGCAAACAGAGAAATTAGTGTTATTAAGTCAATTGCTGTGGGAAACTAGCTTTGTGCCATCCGGATTTATTTTAAAAGTAACCTGGAAAACGGGAAATGGGTTAAAAACAGTTATAGGAATACAGAAGACAATATATAGTTTGCACAATTCGAACTTTATCGTCTACGGTACAATCACCCTCATTATTCAGCACAGCCTGGCTGCAGTGTTAGATTTTTAACAAAATATTCTTTAGGAGGTGCCTTTCATGGCTCTTTGTAGACAATCCCATACCGACTCCATAATCTTAAAGTCTAGGCCCTACAGGGAGCATTCATAACTTCATTTGAACCCCCCTTTAGAAAAAGATACATTCCTTTGAAAATAGTTATGTACAGAGGCTGGGCTGAAAATGGATGGAAAACAAGTAAATGTCCAAGGAAAACATTTAAGGGTCCTTTAGAAACCCTGGAAGCCCATAACTCAAGAGCAGTTTGAAATGTTGTATAAAATCTAGTCTGCTTTCAAGCAAAAGTACCTAGAAATCAATAAGTAATCGTGAGTAACTAATCTGATTTTAAAGGAATAGTTATGTAACGGTTGCTTCAGAAATGTTTAGGAAGACATTTATAGTTGATACTACAGATCATCTTTGAAGAACAGATCTTGATAAGGGACTTGTGAAGGGTGAAAGCTGCATTGCTTTTTTGCTGACCGGATGTCAAGCAGTTTTGTAATAAGAGAGGGTTTATCGAGCTTTGTGTCAGAGGTATCTCCTTAAGCCTGTGTTCCCAAGAGAAAAGATGATACCAGAAACCAACAAAAAAACAAAAAAAACGGGGTTGTGTGGGAGGATTCTTCTTCTCTAGAATATGGCTCGTCCATGTCCTTTAAATATTTCAATATGAAACATATATTCATGATCAAAAATCAATATTTGAGCTTTGACTTTGCATTTTTTTTATTTCACCTGGATCTTTAAGATGAGCAGAACCAGCTAAGCATAAAACCAAAACATTAATGATCTTTTTTAGTATGAAAATAAGTCCTGGTAAGGGTACCTATGTTCTATCAACATAAACATGCCTCTCAAAGCCATAGTTACGCACCACTAATCATGGACGAGCTCCCTCTTGTGGTCGCACAGGCTCCTCGCCACCTGCAGTGGGCGGGTCCACCGGTGACAGCTGTGCCGTGATAGGCTGCTCCCGGAGGAGGCTGCCATGACACATTGGATGCTGCACAGAGTCAGATCTACAGCATCAGCAAGGCTGTGCTCCTCCATCCTCATCCTCATCGCCACCCCCTGCCTCTTTCTCTCTCTCTTTTTCTCCTCCTTTGCCTCTCCTTCCCCCGTTCCGCCAACCCCTTTGCTCTCTCTTTCTCTGTCCCTTCTCCCCCCCTTCCTTTCGACGGACACGCGCCGGCCTGCCCCTGAGCAACGCTGCAGCAGAGGGACGGTGCACACACACACACCAGCGGCAGCAGGGATAGCAGCAGCAGCATCAGCAGAGGAACTGGTAGGTGCACCGAGGCCCGTCTCCCTCCCCGCAGCACGGCCAAGACACGGCATTCTCCTTTAATCTCCGTCAAGGACTATTTTTTTTTTGACAAGTGTATGTCTGTGTGTGTGTGCGTGTGTGAGAGAGAGGGGAGATGGTTGGACTACCACACCCTGGGATCATTTACTACCACTGGATGAATGATGCAGTGCACATTTTCATACTTCCACTCTTTTTTTTCACACACACAGAGGAAACACAAGGATTTCTTTTTCTGATTGAATTGTGTCTTCTCCACAGCATAGGAATCTGCTTCAACATTGACCAGGGCTTGTACACACACACACACAGACACACACGTGCGTTTGCTAATGAAAGTGTTCCGTATCCAGGATTACACAATTTGGCACGAGGCCTGCGCAAATTTCTAACCTGCCTGACAACAGCTCTTTCTCAACTCTTTCCTTTCTCAAACCAGCTTCATCAGCCTCTCCATCTCCCTTCTCCGTCACTACCTTTTCCCCCTTTCTCAAATTCCCTCTCTCCTTCCTCATCTTCTCCTTTTCGCGTCTCCCGTTCGGGGCCGGCCGGCTTCCCAGGATGCCTTGCTCGAGGCCGCTCCGGTAGGCCCCAGCAGCATGGGCGGAGCCTGGGCGGGAAGAGACATTACGGATCGGACCCTTCCCCTCAGGACGGGCTCACTGGCGGGTCACCCTCCCTCAGCTTCAGATGGGTGAGGACGTTGAGAGCCCCAAAATCAACCACACCTTTCTGCGAGACTACGTCACCGAAGGTGTGTCCCCGCCGAGGCTTTGGGCTCTGAACGTGTACCGGTGTGACTGAGCACTTTATGTCATGTGCTGGATAGAAAATGGTGGAGATGACACTGGTCGGGCTATCATTGATCGGCAGGTTTTTATCATTTGTGCTTCTTTAACAGGAATGACCTGAGTATTTGATCTGTATTTCGACACCCTGTTCACATTTTCTGCCCTAATATTCCTAATTGATGATTGATATATTCACTCGGTTATCATCCTCTTCTTCTTTTTATTCCAAGCGTCATACCACTTAAATTCCTTCTATTTTTTTTGTCTTCCTCCCCAGCTGATGTCATCTCTACGGTGGAGTTTAACCAGACGGGGGACCTGCTGGCCACGGGCGATAAAGGTGGCCGTGTGGTCATCTTTCAAAGAGAGACAGAGGTCAGTGTTCTTATTCAGAACTCTCAGTACCCAAGAGACCGTGGTTTAAAGGTGTTCACTGAGAATCGCCTTTTAATCACTGGTCCTCAGTCTAAAGGGGAGTCAGAGGAGACGGGGGACTCTGGGGAGTACAACGTCTACAGCACCTTCCAGAGCCACGAGCCCGACTTTGATTACCTGAAGAGTCTGGAGATAGAGGAGAAGATCAACAAGATCCGATGGCTGCCCCAGCAGAATGCTGCGCATTTCCTGCTCTCCACCAATGGTAAGAGTGCGCGGAAGCTTAAACTCCGAGTGAATTGTGCTAATTTGGAGCTAATTCTTAATGACAACAGAAATGACACAGTTAATAGTTTGTCACCATCGTTTTATTATCTTGTTAGAACGAAATGACATCTGCTGATATCTAGCTTGTGGATGCAATAACTGCTCTGTCTGCATAATTGAATTTGTTCTTCAATTATTCTCCTTTATGAAACTTTATTGCTTTGAAATTGATGAGATGGAAACCAGGCTTTGGAACAATTAGTTACATTTAGAAAACGCTCTCCTTCCAAAAAGCACTCTACAACAATACGATGATTAGATCCAGGTTTTACACAAGCACACACAAAAAAACTCTTTCTGTCCAAATAAAAACCAAGAATTGATTTTGTCTTCTGTTTATTTGCTTAGTAACTGTGTTAGTTTTTTGCCAACTCAAGCCACAATCCTGGTGTGAATTTGTGAATATCCTGTGACAGATAAGACCATTAAACTGTGGAAGGTGAGCGAGAGAGACAAAAGACCCGAGGGTTACAACCTGAAAGATGAGGAGGGACGGCTGAAGGATGTTTCCACCATCACCTCTCTGCAGGTACAAGGACACACTCAAGCACACATCTATTCTGTTCAGTCATCCCAGCATCAGGTCGGCATTTGATGAGCTGCTTGTGTGGCTGCTGGCTTTCATGTGCGCTGGTTATCACTTTATTGTGTTTCCTTTTGCTCATAATAATAATGTTTCCTCCTCTTTCAACATCTCCCTGTTAAAGGTGCCCGTACTGAGACCAACAGATCTAATGGTGGAGGTTCGTCCCCGACGGGTGTTCTCAAATGGACATACCTACCATGTCAACTCCATTTCTGTCAACAGCGATGGGGAAACGTACTTGTCGGCTGATGACCTCCGCATCAATATGTGGCACCTGGGCATCACAGACCGCAGTTTCAGTATCCTTTGGAGCTATGATTTGCTCCGTTTAATCCCAAACTGTTTCTAGTTTTTGCTCAATGTTCACCAAACCCTCCCCTACTTTTGTTCTGCATTTAAGCTCTATCTGATTTTCTTTCAGTGCTTTCAATCCATTGATCCATTAATCAGACGTGTCTCATATTTCAGAGAGTATGAAATTACCAGGACTGCACAGAAGAAAAATTGTTTGTTCACTTGAAATAGTAAAAATCAATATATATATACTGTATGTATATATACATAGAGAGAGAGAGAGAGAGAAAGAGAGAGAGGGAGGGAGAGAGATTCCCAGACCTTTTATATCCATGACAGCCAAATCACGTGTGCTTGTATTTGTATTTGTTGAACACATAGAAAAGTGTTGATATGAACCAGTGCAGTGCAGGTGCAGCAATACGTACAACAACCATGCACTATAATGCTCATTAAGTACATGAGTTTTATTTTACACACATGTTCTTTGGCTTTCTATCCGAGTAAATAAGAGTCATGACAATAATGAAAAAAAATCCAATGTGCACACTGGAGTGCAAAATGCACATGACTCCGTTTGGGTACATATTTCCATAGGAGTGGCTGTAGCATGCTGCACTCGGTTGCCTGTTTTCCATTCAAATGAAAGCTGACCTAGAAAAATCGTAGAGGCATCCATGGTAGACGAGTTTAAATAATTCACCCAACACTTTCTGCTGAGCCACATAGGACGACTACAAATAGAACAAACTGAGGAACAGGGAGCGTGTGCATACGGGGGGGTTGGTAAAGGAGTATTATTGGGGAGTGATGATAAATTCGGTTGCACGCAGAGACACTTGTTCCAAAGCTGAAAAGTCCGAAAAAGATGATGCAACCAGCAGGTCCCAACGCTGTGTTCACCTCCACTCTCCTGATGTGTGCGGTGTCCATGATCTCTGTGGTTTTAGTTCCTTTACGCGACTTCCTCTCAGATATTGTAGACATCAAACCGGCCAACATGGAGGATCTGACGGAGGTGATAACTGCAGCGGAGTTCCACCCCCAGCACTGCCACTTGTTTGTGTACAGCAGCAGCAAGGGAACCCTGCGCCTCTGTGACATGAGAGCCTCGGCCCTCTGTGACAAACATACCAAACGTGAGCATTTAGCCCTAGATTACAAGGCCTAATGCAGGCAGGAGGGAGTGCATGAACAATCTCTAACCGCGACTTTGAATAATCAGTTTTTGAGGAGCCCGAGGATCCGGGGAGCCGCTCCTTCTTCTCCGAGATCATCTCCTCCGTGTCGGATGTCAAGTTCAGCCACAGCGGACGCTACCTGCTGACCAGAGACTACCTCACCGCGAAGGTGTGGGACCTGAACATGGACAAGGGCCCAGTGGAAACTTACCAGGTAAGACAGCTCCCCAGATCTTTAATTTTATTTTTCCCCACTGTTTTGAAACACCTGCTCTGAGAGCTTGTTGCGTCCCATTTTTAGACACATCTGGCACAAGCCCCACATTGCCGCTAGCTTAGTTGGGGCATTGCAGCTGAACGTTCTGTGAATTTTTCACGTGAGCGCGTCGCAGAGCGAATTTGGAACTCGTGCAGCCTGATGCAGACGCGGGCCCTGTGTGAGGTCAAACTAGATCTATCCCAGACACTAAAGCTGACCGTGTGCATTATTCCCAGGTCCACGAATACCTGAGGAGTAAGCTGTGCTCCCTGTACGAGAACGACTGCATCTTCGACAAGTTCGAGTGTGTCTGGAACAGCTCGGACAGGTAAGACTTCAACGGAGACGGCGAGAAGTAGATGTTAGTTCTCGTACGGCTCACATGTGGTTCTAGCTGACAAGCAGTCAGTCTGATGCTGTTTGCTCTGATTTAGTTAATCGCTTTACTCTGCTGACATTTAAATCAATGCCAGAGACCAGCTTTGCAGACATCAAATCAATCCTCTTGCCCTTAATTTTGTTTGCCTCCTCTTCCTCTTCCTTGCCCTGACATCCTTATCTCCTTTCCTCTGACCTAGCGTGATCATGACGGGAGCTTACAACAGCTTCTTCCGGATGTTTGACAGGGAGACAGGGCGCGGCGTGACCCTGGAGGCGTGGAGGGAGAGCAGCAAGCCGCGGGCCGTGCTGCGGACCCGCCGGGTGTACACAGGCGGTAAGCGCCGCCGTGGCGACGTGGGCGTCGACAGCCTGGACTTCACCAAGAAAATCCTGCACATGGCCTGGCACCCGTCAGAGAACATAATCGCCATCGCGGCCACCAACAACTTGTACATCTTTCAGGATCGAGTCAGCCCCGAGACACAGACACAGTGACAAGAACACTGGAAATCGATCCTCATCAGACTGTTCCACTGAGTTTCAAACTCCTACGTATATGAATGTTTTAGGGGGACGCCTAAGTCGATTGGACTAACGGTAACATTCTAAGACTATTTACTTAGTTGATTTAATTTGATCACCAAGGAAGGGAAATGTGTGTAATCCTTTTTCAATAATGAGATGACGTGACATCTCTACAGTGGCCATGGAGATGTGTTTTTTGCTGCACTCTACCACTACTTTTTGAAAATGTTTGCATAATTTCACCCTCCAGGGGCAGTGAACGAGGTGCAGGGACACCTCTCCATCTCCAATGACTGCTGTTGATCCCACAATGTTGCACTACTCACCAATGTCTATTTCACAGTTAAGAGAAGATATGTGCTTTGGGCATCACACGGTGTCTGATGCTTTAAAGTATACTTTAAATGGCAGGTTGACTTTACCTGATGTTGCATCTAAATCAGAGCATTCTGAATATGGAGTGATGTTATGATTTAGGTTCTCCACAATGCTATCTTTTTCTCTGTTGGGTGACAGCAGAAACGTAACCTCTCCTTTAGAGCAGCGCTCCTGGGGACTGCACGGATATTCATAACCAATAATCTTAGCCCAATTCACTTTGCAATAACAGCACTAACAAGAGCAGTATAGCGGTGTTCCTGGTTTAAAACAGAAGTTTTTATTCTACAGATGAAATCCATGTTACACTCTTTTTACAGTTAGCCATAAAAATTCTCTGTTTTTTTTTTTCTTTTCCAGGCGATACCGCGTTATCTTCAGAAAATGAATAGATTTTGTCGATTGCACTGTAAATGAACGTTAGATCTTACTTTTAAGACAGGTTAAACTGCACCATGTCTGATGTTTTTGTGAAGCAATACATAGAACTAATCACTGGCTGAGAAGAAAGCAGGGAGACTGTGCACTTATCAACACTCTGCGTTTTGTTTTGACTATTTTTTCAAGCTTGTACTGGGTTTTGATGGATGTGTCAAAGTTAATTCCTGTCTAAAATGTACACGACTATACAACGAATCATCACAACTGAGGGGATCAGTCTCTAATTGTTGAGCAATCTCCTTTGTCCAAAATTAAGGCCCACGTGGGCACAAACATAACAATATAATTATCATTAAGCAAGGGCGGAACTGAGATGAGCTTTGTTTGTTTTATCATGCTGAAGCACATTTTAATAATGGATCTCACAATCACGATAAAAACATGCACATTGTTCATAAATGAGATCCCTGACTCAGCTAATCAAAGTTGTAATGAATTCATTTGTGTCGGGTGTGTGTGAGGCTTTGAGGCGATCATCAGTGCAATATCTCGTTATGTACGTCACAAAAGGTATTTAAAGTCCAAACAGTGTGGGTGTTTGGACAGATCATACCATATTGTAGGTTTTAGCTGTCTTACTTTATACCTCACAATGCCGCATGCTACTCTGGGGTGCTACACTGATAAAGGGAAGGCAAACAGCAGTAACGGAAATGTTTGCTTTGGACTGAACTGTTTGACATTTCACTGCTTGGAGGGAAGTGCTTTTTTCTGAAGTGCTCTTTGCCATGATTGGATTAGCGTTAGTTGTCCAGATGCTGATATGGTAACGGGTAACAGGTGGAGTCGACTGGGGAAGCATTTCATTGAAATTTTTAAAAGACCAAGTTCTGGTGCGTGATTAGTGGTTCGCTGTTTAAGAATTTACCCTTCAAAAAAAGATTAAATTGTCACGTTGCCCGGTGTCTGTTGCAGTTGAGAGGCCTCTCTTCACTTTGCTCGTACCCTTCTTGAATGCAAACATTATTTTGCTCTCAGAGATGGGAAACCACCCAAAAAATGGTTAATAGGGAGACAAGCCGCCCGGGGGTTGGGTGGGGGTGGGGGTGGACTGTAGTTTTGTCAGTTGTAATCGCATCATAGCCACAAACACTTGCAAACGGTGAAAGGAATTTGTGTTCAGGATCACAGCAGCAGCATGCCGCCATTACTCAAAGCTACTAGAGTGTAATTCTATTGTACTTAAAAAGCGAAGGAAAAAAAAACACAGATCTAACAGGACAAAAACATAAATTAATTGAGGTGGATGAAAGGAATGTGCTTAATAAATGATTAAAAAATGTGACAAAATTGTGTTTGAGTTTTTTTTTTTAATGTCTGCAACAGTAACAAAGTAAAACAGGTCCTAGGCTAAAGCAGCTTTCTGTGTGGAGGATTTTTCATAAGAAAAAATTTAGGCATCCACTTTTTCAATTTCTAATGATCTTAAAATCCGATAAATAGAAACCAAAATTAAGAACACATGACATTTTACACCAGGTAACAATTTATTTGAGAAAAACTTGCCCAAAATCCAAAAGCAGTTTGGAACATCGAGGTAAAAGCTTGTGGAACTTGTAGTACTATGCAGCGCATCTTAAACATATACATACATGTAGTTCTGAGGATAAGGAAGTGGAGCATTGGAAGCGTTTGACAGAATCAAAGACCCATTCAGTTAAGCCGAATTTCACTTGCTGGGGACAAAGGAAAGAAAAACCCATAAAAAGCAAAAAACAAAAACACCCCAACAGATCACAGCTGCTATCAAGACCAAGCAAACCATCACAACAGAGGAAACTCATTCCATGGTGATGATATACTGCGTGTAAAACAGTTCATATTTATATTTTTTTCACATAGTTTATTGGTTCAGCCTTGGTTGAGTGAGAGTTCACAGTTTGCATTTCAAATATATATTAACTGTTTAATTTCCATCATCACGTTACAGTGTGTTAGATTCTAACAAACACTTTTAAGTAAAAAGTTGCTTTAAGTACACAAATATAAAACAAGCAAATGTGTTGTCCATGCAAATCTTTTTCACAGTGCAGGTAAAAATAATGAGTTTCTGGGCCTAAAATGCTGCAGCATCAGCTGCTTTAATCATTTAAAGTAACACTAGAGAATTTGTCAAGTTTTCGTGCTCTTTGGCTCCCTCTACCTACAATAACACTGTCATCAAAGCAAAAACGACCACAGCAAATGTGAACCCTGCAACTGCACCATGGCAGAAAGATGACATCAAAATAATATAAAGCAAAATGGTGTGGCAAAGAGCTGGATTGCGTACAAATTGTACACTTAAGCCCCCCAAAGACACGTCGAGGCAATTCTGGGCCTGTAAATGTGCATTACAAAAATAAAAAGTAGTTCAAAAGAAGTCATAAGTACAAAACTTTAAGGATAACAAACTTCTCAAGTTCTCTCTTTACTAACTTGACGCCTAATTCTTTAACAAGTGTACAGGATCATTAAAACAAGCATTCTTGTACATGATTAGCTGAGTTTTCTTAAAATGTTGTGTTCAAAGGGAACAATAATGTCTCTGTAAACTTTTACATTCCCAGGTTGAGATGCCTTCATATGCACAAAATCTCTAGATCCATTTTGGGTTAATACGTTAACCTTCATTAGAATTCAATTAACTTGACTATCAACACCCTGAAAGCATTCTTTCCCTACTCATTTTTCCTCTCAAGCATGGATTTTTGCTGATAGGAAAGGAGAGAAGAAAAAATCAAACGCAAATTTCAGGGCTTTCATTGTCGTGCGCCTCCAGTCTCTTTCTATCTTAACCTGCCTGCGTCCAGTAAGCCGAGGAGATACGCAGTCCAGGCAGTGGATGGCCTTCAGCTCAAAGGCTGGTGCTCTCGATCCCAGACGGCCCTCCAGCTTGGTGCTGAACTCCACCATATTTCCAGGGCTCAGATTTAGCAGCACCTGTCTAAACTCGTGGCTGGCCATCAGGAGTATATCCCTGGCTGGGTCCTCCGCCTCGGGGCTTTGGATCATCCCCACCGTCACCTCGAATCGGTAGCTGTCAAAGCGCTTGACGTGGCAGGTTTGTTTAGCCAGATCCTTGACCTGACACAGCTCCTCCTCCTCCTCCTGCATGTGAAGCAACACGGGCAGTGGGACGGTGGCCGATGCTGAGCCGGTCGCTGCTGCTGTAGCTGTCAGGTTGACAAACGTGGTGTTCTTTGGCTCGCATTTGGGATAGGTCTCACCGTACAAGCACTGGAACCAATCTCCTATGAACACCGGCAACATGTTTATGACCGACTGGGCGCCATTCTCTGTTTCGGCAACGCGGACACTCTTGAAACGCCCGGTCCAGGTGACTCTGTGTCCATGCAGGTGGCTGCAAATGATCTGCGTTTGGGCCATGCTTTTTGTTTTCCAGGCAGGGGGCCCGCAGACCTGACTGTACTGACTCCAGGTCAGGGAGGAGTTGTAGACCTTCTGTCCCTCCGCGTAGTACACATAGACCGAGAAGAACAGGATTACCGTGGATATACAGAGCAGTATGACCTTAACTGGGCCGCGGTGCGTCAGCGAGCGGATGATATCCAGAATAGACATGCTGAACCGCGTCCAAAGCCGCAGGGTGACCGGGATCGCGCACACCACCAGGGTCACGATCATCTTTGTCAGCTCCAGCCCGAGGAACCACTTGAAGAGCTGGATGAAGATCATGATGGCGAGGCCAAATGCCAGAACAGGCAACGCGAACAGGAAAAGGAAGTAAGCCACGCACGTGCGGATTAAACCCACGGCGGAGGAATTCCGAAGGAGGACCACTGAGAACTCGCACCACATGAAGCACACGAGGTATGGAATCAAAAAGCAGTAAGTCCCCCGGAAACCGCGCGTCCTTGCCATGCTGAAGGAGAAAAAAAGAACAGGGTGACAAAAAAATAACTTTATACAATTCTGGCACAAAATGTAAGAAAACAATGCTGATCATTTTTAATGGATAGAGTGAGAATCTCCAACAGAACGAGCTTCCCCTCACCTGAAGAACAGGTAGAACAGGTAGACATAAAGAAGACAGGGGATGCTGAGCTTCAGCACCACGGACTCCCCAAGTGGCAAAGTGTTAAAGGTGCGTCCCAGGAAGCGAATTGCTGTCATGTTTTCTGGCAGTAACTGGGTCAGGCAACACAGATTCGATGCAACCTGAATTGAAATATTAAATACATGATTACTCAGCTTTAAAAGTTATCTCCTTTAAGGGCATCAAAATCCTATGACTCTGCAGGCATTGTGCCATTGAAGAGAGTGACATCTGAAATTATTTGAAAACCATTGTGGATATACATATATATATAAACATAAGCACAGTATAACAAACAGTAATGCCCCTTTCCCTTCTCTATGTTCATCAATCGTGATATACCTCTATAAACATTGCCCGGCGGGCATATGCTGCTGCAGTGGGGCTGAGGCTTCCATAGCTGACTGCAGTAAAAAAGATGGCTATGGTGGAGAGCTCCGAACAGGGGATCCATTTCTTGTCGGCAACGGGGAAAGAGAAGATGACAAAGAACACAGAAAAGATGAAATACAGGTAAGGCTCGAGGTTGTTCCAGCCGAAGTTGGTTTCCGCTTGCTCCACGTCAAGGCCAGGCTCAAACCGTGTCAGAAGAGATGTGAGAGCTCTGAAGTTCTCCCAAGTCTAAGAAAAAAAAAGGAAAAATGTTAGGAAACTTTTGAAACGTTGTCATTGCTTGCATCAATGGCTACTTCTCAAGATCTACTAGCTTCTGGTAAAATGTCAACTCTAAATGTTATATTCCATTGCAGTAACTTGACGCCTTTTAGAGGATCTTTTTAAATGAATGACTTAATTGCAAGTAGTAAAATGTAAAAGGGATTTTTTGTGTCCGTCAAATGCATTTTAAACAAAATGAATGATGTGAATTCTTATGTTTTTAGGTGCGCCACAAATGTGTATCTCTAAATGCCATATAACCTATTTTTAGGCTTTTAAATGTATATACAGGCAACAAAACATTTAATTGGTTATTTGCTTGGGGCACCACGGTGGTATGTGAGGTGATATGTGGTATGTGAGCATCCTCAACATGTATTTGTTTTTGCATTAAGAAATATGTGTAAAAATGATTGGGTCGGAGTAATTATGTGCCAGAAACGTCAACAAAAGCATTCTGAAGGACTAGAAAAGACCACTCGTCCCAGAAAAGGAAATGAAACAATCACCTTGCTGCTCTGGAAAACTCGCAAAGTGCAGATGATCATGGAGACGAAGGAAAGGTAGAAGACAACCAGAGGGATGACGAAAGCAAACAGGTCGACCGTCAGGTTGCTGATGATGAAGAAGAAGATGAGCGCGTTGACGTGCTGCGTGGGGATGATGGTGCTCAGCCACAGGACGCCAGCCCGTGAGGCCCAGTCAATCAGGTGCTCCTTCATTTCAATGAGTGCATGCAGCGGATACTGCAGCATCTGAAGGGGGGGGGACCCACAGATACAACGAGAACATAAACAAGCTTGCAAACCAATACATGAAAAGATGACAAATGATGCAAGATCGGGATTACCATCAAGCGGGACTTCATGTCCATGGCGGTTTTAATCGCACCAGTTTGCCTGGTGTCCAACATCCCGCTGCAGTCAAAACTCCAGGAGTGTTTGTGGAGCTTCTTGTATCCCGTTTGGACCAGTTCAGTCTTCTGCTTTAAAAGAGCCGCACACGCACATTCGTGAACGCACATCTGTGCTTTAAGAAACGCTTATCCTTTTTGTTCATCGCTGGTAAATGGGGCATCTTTACCTCCCTGCCACTCCGAAGCGGGGCAGGCCTTTCAGTTCTTTCCGTGGGCTGGCTTCCACTGTTAGGAGCTGATGGGACGATGCCTTGCGCGTACTTTTTAGTCATCTCAACAAAGTCGTCCAGGTCCACCAGCTGATTGGCTGAGAGGACAGGAAGCGGGCAGTTAAAGAGGAGTTTTACCGTGTTTTGTGTCTGTTCGCTCTCTTTTTTTGTTTGTTTTAGAATACCCACAGTCACTGCTGACCATGCTCTCCAACACTTTCTGGGTTTGGCCCGAGGTTGGGACGGGAATCCTGCTCGGGATGCCCCCTGTTGAAGAGGCATGATCACATCACCAGTGAGTTCCGAACACTTCACTGAATGCCGGCCTGTAACATGACACTGCTCGGTTAGACAGCTGCGAACTGTGAAATCATACGGGAAGTGTCAGCAACACCCTTCCCAGGGTGGTTTGCACACTTTATGTGACACTGAATGAACACAAATTCGCATCTCAGTGAGTGTGCGGGGCCCCCTACCTTGCATTGCGTTGACCTGGCTCACATTCTGCAGCATTTCTGACACAGCCACCTTCTTCTTCCTGTCCGGGTTGAGCCTCCAGTACATCATCATGGCGGCTTTGCGGACCGCCAGTTCAAACTTACTTTCTGTTGACAGCACGCGCACATCTTCTTCATTTTCTGGGGTGATACCTGGCCCAAAATGGTAGACATTTATCTCTTTGCTGAATTGAAAACGTAATAAAACACATGCAATGATGCACTGGCCCGAATTCGGTACCTTTTCTTTGGATCCAACAGCGCTGGAGTATTCTCGCTGCGCCCTTTCTTCCCTGCTTTGCTGCTTTAATCAACCAATCAACAGCCCGGCAGTTATTCAGCTCTTCTTCCTTCTCTTCAGCCAGAAGCAAATAGTGCTGAGCAAGCTGAAATACAGTGGAGGAGTAAAAGGGAGCATTTTTAAAAGGGAGCATTTAGAAGGATTAATGGCCATTGAAAACAACAAAGCATAGGGATGTCCCCTTGAGAATGAACAGGTCAGATGTAAAAAAGCGGTTAAATCTTTATAATAGGGCTGGAAAACTGGGTTCAAGAATCTGGTGGGCACTTTTAAATTTGGGGCATTCCTTTCAAACGTTTTCGATTCTGGCATGTTCAGGCTGAAGAAGCAAGAAAATGCTATGAATAAATGATGGCAACATCCAGCATTTCTGTTGGAAGAAATCAGGTGGATGGAGCAGAATTTTTAACAAATATTAATCAACATCACTGACTCATGAGGCTGTCATCTACTCTGTGGTTACCAAGTCTGATTAGGAAGAAAAAAGTCAACCCCCCCCCCC